ATCAGTACTCATAATGGTAAAATGGTGGAAAGATTCCAAATGCTGAACAGGTGACGAATGGATGAGCAAAATATGGTGTAAGCATGCACTGGAATATTATTTCACCATAAAAAGAAATAAAGTACCGCTTATATGCTACCATAGGACAAACTTAAATATTATGCTAAGTAAAAGAAGCTAGACATAAATAATAAAATTTTTTTAAAAAAGCTAGGCATAAAAGATTGTATGCTAAATGATTAAAGATCTGAAATATCTTCAGTAAGCAGAATCATGGAAATAGAAAGCCACTAGGGGATGCCAGGAACCAAGGAGGGGGATAATGGAAGTGACAGCTTCATGCATACAGGATTTTCTTCTAGTCAAGAAATTATTTAGGTTGTAGAGATAAGTACCAGGAGGATTACTCCACAGCTGAGAAGCCGGCCTCACATGCTGGGGGAAAAGGCAGCACAGACAGAGAAGGGACTACCAAGTAAAGGGTGCTAGGAGGGCTTGCTCTGGATGGGAGATGCGGGCTGAAAGTAGACTATAGACCGAACATGATGGCCATTTAATACCTCTATTGCAAACCACAACACCCAAAAGGAGAGAGAGAGCAAAAGGGAATGCCGTGCCACAGAGGTAGGGTGGGGTGGAGGGGATGGGCTGGGGGTGGCAGGGGGATGCTGGGACTATTGGTGATAGAAAAAGGGCATTGGTGGAGGGATGGGTACTCGACCATTGTATGACTGAAACGCAAGCACGAACTGTTTTTAAGTTTGTAACTACCTCATGGTGATTCACAAATAAAAAATTAAAAAAAAATTATTTAGGAACCGCAGATAGGAGTTGGTATAACCCTGTGACAATACTAAATGGCATCAAATGACTTATATAAAAATGAATAGCTTTATGTGAATATTACCTTAGTTTGGAAGTGAAAAAGGGGAGGAAACAATCTTGTCTTAAGCTCTCCCTCCCTTTACCATGTGGTGATTGGCAGGGACGGGGTTGAGGGGCAAATATAATTTTTTCCAACTTGGATGCAGAGTTTTTTGTTACTCTATCATACAACTATTTCTATTTACATAATCTTAAAGCCTTCCCTAGGATATTTTCTGGGGTGGGTTGTGTACCAGAATTGTAGAGTGCTTTTATAACCTAGATCTCAGTCGACACCTGTTAGATGAGCATCTACCGACAATCTTTCTAAGTAAAATTCTTAGTACCAGACAAGTTTGACTACTAATTGATGATTTTTCTCTGATAAAATAACATTAATTGTGATAAGCATAAGGCATTAGTGATAAATTAATACATAAATGTTAACAATTTATTTAAAAAACTGAAATTCTGTAGGGTTTTTTTTTCTTTTTTGGGTCACACTCAGCGAGGTTCAGGGGTTACTCCTGGTTCTGCACTCAGGAATTACTCCTGGCGGTGCTCAGGGGACCATCTGGGATGGCGGGGATCAAACCCAGTCAGCACATGCAAGGCATATGTCCTAGTCACTGTACTATAGCTCCAGCCCTGAGATTCTGTGGTTTGCAACACCATTAATAATGGTTTCTCCTGCGCATAATTCCAACACCACACCCATCACCAGTGTACCCACATCTCTCCCTCGAGGACCTCAATGCTCCTCTCTCTCAGCCAACAAACTATTTAGTAACAATGTTAGAGTAGTTAGTTATTGATCTTAGTGCTGGTGAGAAGGAAAAGACAGTGAGACATGGTGGAGGAGTTGGGGGTGTGTTTAGGGCCCACTAGGACTGGAGTTGGGACACGAAAAACCTTGATGAGAAGGAATGACTAAAGTCAGCACTGCCTCTTAGACCCTGAAGCATGAATAGACAGACCCAACTTGTGTCCTCAGTATACCTGCTTTATCAACCATTCATTATAATATGATCATCATTTCAATTCTACTCCCCCTTCCCCACTCATGGGCTTTTCTGCATTCCAAGATGGGCAATCTCAAGTGCATAAGCAATCTGGTTCTATAATCCATGCCTATCACTCACCTAAGTCCCACCTATAATCCCATCCCAAAATGATGTGATTGTCTACTCTGTCCTAAAGTTACATATAAAAACATAGTTGTTTAGGCATAGCAGGGTTACCTATAATTCTCATATTCAACCCACCCCACTCTTCTGAAATGTCCTGTATTTTAATAGACTTGCTTGCTTGGTTGTTGTGGAACCTGTATATAATCTTCAATTTTTTGCTTATTATACAAAAGAAACAAGAACTTTTTGTCACACATGCAGACCACCTGGTAGTACCACGGTGATGTCCCAATATACACATGTCAATCCTATGACATCACTGACTTGTGCTTATTTTAATAAGATACTAATTTTTGGATAATTCCTTTGGATAAGAAGGAAAAATCACACAAGATTAATGTTGAGTACTCACTTAAAGAAGAAAAGGTCTAAGTAGACATTTATAAAAAGATAACATTACTAGAATTGGAAGCAAGAATCCTCTTACATAAGTAGTATAATCCTTCTGGAAATTTAGCAAATATATTAAAATTATCAATGCGTATATCATTGATCTATCACACCAAATGGGAATAGTTATGCAAAATGCTTATTGGATGAAATAAACATGTTAGTCACTGAAGACTTAGTGGAAGCATCTCTTTATCTACAAATGAGATCACAGATCACAAAATGCATATTTTGTTAATGCCTAAAAGTTGTTTATCTGCCTTTTGAGGTGCGATATCTTTGAAATGTTTTATGGCATTTGATTTTTATGCTACCCTGTAAGCTAACCTCTGTTTGCACAACTAAGTGACAGCCTGTGACCAATCAGACTCCTGCAGAGCACTAATGACAGGAAAGGAGCGGAACCACCTGTCAAAGGAGAATGAGCTGAATGCTGCCAGACATAGGACCAATGCACCTTACTTAGCCATGGAGTTTCAGTGAAAATGGTTCAGTTGTCCTTCAGTAACAACATGCTTATCTTCTGGACATTTTTCCAATATTCTATCATTTCTATTTGCATGACTTAATGACTGTTTGAAGATCTGATGTCCCTTAAAGATAACATCAAAGTCCACCTGGTCCATTACTTACTCTTTATATTGCATCCCCAGATAACTTTTCATAGATGCCCTCCTTAGACATTTTCAGAAATATTGGTTGCTCCTTCTCTATTTCGCTATGCCTTTCTATTTGATTGTGAAAATATGACCATGCATTCATTTTTATACGACCAGTACTAGATATAAAACACTGATTAGAAAGAATTATGATAAATAAAATAAAGTATTTTCAAAACGAATATGGTTACTCTGGAAAACTGCTTGGCAGTTTTTTTTTTATATGAAACTAAACAGATACTAGGGATGGGGGTATCACTCAGGGGTGAAGCACAAACATCACATGTGTGATCCCCAGCATCAAAAGGAAACAGAAGAAATACAAACAGTAGAATTCAACAAATATACTATGAAAATTCAGTAAAGAAAAATTAAAATGTAGGCCTATACAAAACCTACATAGAAATGTTAGTAACACTTCCCAACTAGAATCCGCCCATATAGCGTTTAAGAGTTAAATAAGTAAACACAGTGATCTCTTTATCATACTATTAAATATTACACCATGATAAAAAGAACAAGTGATTTAACATATGCAACAACTTGAGTGGCACTTGAGTACCAAACTGGGAGAACCCCTAGTACCTCCAGGTATGGTACCCCAAACAACTAAAAATTAAACTCAAGTGATGTGCTGCATGAGATTCTTTTGCATAACATAATTCTTAATAATTCTTTAAAATGTGTGTTTCATTTATTCTGAAATTCTTTACTGAACATAATATTCAGCATTTTACTGCATGCTGGGCACATTTTCTAGTCACAGGGAGTTGTAATGGTGAGAGCTAAATCCCCATATCTACATGCTATACAGACAGTAAATCTGAAAATGCACAGCAATCTGAGCCACTGAGACACGCTCGAAGGAGAAAGGATTTTTCTAGTGGGATAATATCAGAGCACAGACTTGAGGGTGAAGAAAAAAAGGCAAAGTATGTAACTCTGTGGGAAGAAAGAACTGGAGGGACAGGAAATGCACAGGGCTCCGTTGCAGAAGCACAGGAAGCACCTTTCAGATGGCAGCACCAAGTACCTGGTGGCTGAGGAGAACTGGAAAGGGTGACCTGAGAGGTAACTTGGACCAGACCTGTGGGGCTGCTGGCCCAGGAGAGGGAGCGGGGTTTATTCCGAGTGTGCAGGAGAGCAGTGGAAAATTTTACATAGGGCAATAATATCAATACTTTTTTTTTAAAGAGGTTTGACTCTGGTTAGGGGAAAACAGGCTGATGGAGGGCAAGAGTGAAAGCAGGAAGCCATGGAAGGGCTAAATGAGAGATGGCAGCAGCTTGGCTGGAACTGAGGGCATCTGAAGTGGAGGTGGAGTGAAGGATACAAAAAGATGTGGCGTGGGGGGCATTGATGGAGGGCAGTGACCACTGAGGGAGGGACTGGTGTTGATCCACTGTATTCTGAACCCCAATCCTGAATAGTCTTTCAATTTCATGGAAACTAAAATTTTATAAACATGAAATGGAACCATAAAAAATAAATGAAGTAGACATAAGCAGAATCATTTAATAAACTCTGGCATAGTTCTACTTTTTAAGTCATTTTGAGACTGTTAACACTGAATACACAATAACTTGAAAAATTGTTTATAATGTTAAGTAAATATAACTCATAACAAAACGAAGTAATCCATTTTAAGCCAACTTGTCCAACTTGAATGTAGAGAAAGAAGACTATACAATAGCATGTAAGCAACACACATATCTCTGGGTTGTGAAATTAAACAAAATTAAATTAAATTATCCTTGAGCTTATTTTGTCTTCAAGTTTTCCGCAATTACAATGTGTTACTTAATGAAAATGAATCACTTTTAAATATTAAGAACATTTTCAACAACAAATACATTAGTGCAGAATAATCATTTGAATTAATAGTTTTATTACTTACCATCACTTTTCTCAAAGTATATCTTTTGGACCGTATGTCATCCATTAACATCTCATAAGGGGTGAGTTGATATTCAATGGGCAAAGGGTTGTATTGTCGCTCTTGAACCTTTTTAAGTTTTACTCCGTTCCTCAAATCTCTCATCACCTGTACCCAAAATCGAGCCTGAAAGAAGAAAGAGTGGAGTGGAGTGACATCAATGAATAAATTCACTAGTATTGTCCACATAGCTAGTCATCGATTTAAAAAATATATGAACTGCAAAACAGAGTAAACCAAACTTATATAAAAAATTAGGTATTTATGAGGCTTAACATGCTTGCCTGACTAATGTGAGTTCAAGCTCTCAAGAATTAGATTTACTTGAGATTTTTAAAATTTGGGCTGGAGCGATAGCACAGCGGTAGGGCATTCGCCTTACAAGCGGCCAACACGGCCGACCCGAGTTCGATTCCTCCGCCCCTCTTGGAGAGCCCGGCAAGCTACCGAGAGTATTCGATATGCCAGACACAGTAACAACAAAGTCTCCAATGGAGACGTTACTGGGCCCGCTCGAGCAAATCGACGATCAACGGGAGGGCCTTTACCTTTTACCTTTACCTTTTAAAATTTCAGTTAATGTGAATGTGCTTATAATGATGCTGGCATTTATGGTCTTCGAGTCCAAGGAACCCCCATTTGTCACCTCCAGTACACCATCCCACCATTCTGCTGTTCTCAGCTCTTATTCCAGTAGATTTTGTGGCGTTAAAATGAGGGAATCTACAAACACTAAGTACAGAGGCAAATCTGAACTCGCCCCTGTGGCAGCTGCTCAAGGGCCCCAGCTCTCCAGACCTCCTAGTATTTACACTCTATGAAGTGGCTTTGCTCATTTCAGAGGAAGCCTCCACATCCCACACCTTGAGGTTGAGTTGGGCTATACAATTTGCTTGCCACTAAGACAGTAGTGGATACAACTTGACCAAAAGTTTCAAAAGCGAAGAGACAACTAACGGGTCATATGTGACTCTTATATTGTCATGAGAATATCAGGCCTACGCTGGCACAATGCCCACTGTCATGATTCCCCAGGAGAAGGGAGACACATAACTGAAGTATAGTCACCACAACTAACGAGAAACTAACTAAATAAATGCTGTTTCAGTATGCAATGTCATTTTGTTGTGATTACACTATTGATGTAACTAATCCTCTACATACTACTTATCATTGAGGAAGTAGTTTCACCTTTCTAAACCTCTGCTTTCTCGTCAGTAAGAGAATATATCACTCTATAATTTCAGAATGTCAGAGCTGCTAAACATTTTTTTTATATTTAGAAAATGCCCCAAATGGCAACTTTGGAGTGGGTTTTTGGGTCACATCCACTGATGTTCAGGCTCTGAGCTCAAGAATCACTTCTAGTGGGTTTGAGGGACCATGTGGGGTGCTGGGAATCTAACCCGGGTTGACTACATGCAAGGTAAGCAGCCTACACACTGTAATATCTCAATGGCCCCATCCCAGCTTTACTTCTCTTACTCATTTCTTTGAGATCCAGCTCAAATATCACCTCAGGGCCAGAGAGACAGTACAGTGGCTGACAGTCACTCTAAAGAGTAAGGCTGACCTGGTTCCATCCCGGCACTATATATGGTCCCCCAAGCATCACCGGAGTGATCCCTAAGCACATAGCCAAGGCCTGAGCACAGCTGGGTGTGGTTCAAAAACCAAAGCAAGACAACATGAACTATTACCTGATCTTTTAAAACACAAAGTCTTAAAAAACAAAAACCAAAATAATTTTTTTCTTGGCCTTCAGAAAACCTGATATATAAAACTTTGAATTCTCAAGACACATAATTTAGGGGATTATTATTCACTTAATAAAATTTTGTTAATTTTTTAAATTTTATTTATTTAAATTTTATTGCATCACTGTGGGAAAAGTTACAAAGTTTTCAGGTTTAAATCTCGGTCATGCAATGATCAAACACATTTCCCTTCACCAGTACTTATTTTTCACAAATTTTGTTAAAATTCATGGGAAAAAAACTCATAATTTTTCTTTAGCATATTATTCGCACACTATGATACAGTTCTGCTAAGTATACTTTTTGCGCATACATGGTTCTAACATCATACTCACCACCAAGTGCTCACTTCCCTCCACCAATATTCCATGACGCCTTTGCTCATGCGCTGTTTCTTTTACTACATTTCTTTGAATCTCTCATAAAAGGTGGCAGAGATCTCAAATGCTTTTTAAAATATAACCAGCTCTTTATTACTGTTTGGGTAAAGCTTTAGGGGACAGAGTACAAGGGGTAGAATCTTGCACATGGCCCACTTGGGTTCAACCCCTGGCACCACATATGGTCCACTGAGCCTCACCAGGAATGATCCCTGAGCACAGAGCCAGGAGTAAGCCCTGAGCAAGCTGGGTGTAGCCCAAAGAAACAGCAATAAGAAATTATAGATGTCCTTTCAGAAAATTTTTATAAATTTTTATAAACTCACAGTAATTATAAAAAACAATATATAACAATCGCTGTGTGTATTCACAGATTGTCACCTATTCCATTTTTCTATTAAAGAGATTCTTAGATTACTAGAGTTTGCTATTTAAAGATATTCTAATCCCCTCTCTCATTCTATTTTTCATTTCATTTTACACTTTTAGGTACTTTATCTTAATGGTCTTATGAGAATAATGATAGTGATCTAGAAAGATAGAAAGTGAAGTTAATATAATCTCTTGTCAGTGACCATATTGTTTTATTTATTTATTTAATTGTAGTTTAGGTATCACACTGGTTTTTAAATAAGGTTGCCTAAAGGCAACATTTTAGCTCAAATTTTTATTAGCCATTTGCTAACTTATAACTGAAGTGTTTTATATATATATATATCACTATTTGGGTTATATATATATGTTATATACATAGTACCTAAATAATGTTATTCTAAAATGGCAGTAACACTTGTAAAATAATACAGGCAACTTTTTGTACATGATAGTAATCTAATATTATTAATTTGACAAAAAATTCAAAGGGGCTATTATAATGTACAAAGAACTAAAAAATCGTTAACTTTAAAAGTATAAATAATGTACATGTAGCTATAATAAAAGATGAAATCTGCCCTTCTCTGTAATTAAGCTAAGTGAAACAAATCAAAAGAAAGACAAATCCTGGATGATTTCAGTGTATGTAGTACACAAAGAAACAAATCAAGGGAAAAAAGACAATGTCCAGTGAAAATGAACTTTACACTCTGATGACAAAACCAGAAAAGTATTTTAAAACAATAAAAATCCATAGATATTGGGGAGGTTCTCATAAAATCAATTTTTTTCCCCAAACAGGAAAACAGATACTTCCTCAAATGTTAAATCTTAACTTTCAAATTAATACAATAACTAAGATTTAAAAAAACCGAGGCTTGGCTCGTCCTTCACACCCTTCTGAGGTCATGACTTGCCCCCCACAAGCAGCTCTCCAGCATGGCCATGGCTCCAGAAGCACAAGGACTTAATGCAGAGCCCGGAAGCTTGCGGCAGAAAAGTGAATGGACTATGCGTTAATCCACGCCACCATGCCTGCCCGGGAGGAAAAGGGTGTTGGTCCTTTCCACCTTTTTCCCTCTGGACAGCAAGATGGTGGCCACCTTGGAGCTTTTTGGAAAGCCAGGTATGAGCCGGTCGTGACAGGGCAACTGAAACCTCATGGGAGGGGGGGCGTTCCTGGCTCATCCTTCATGCCCCACCGAGGTCACGAGTTGCCCACCACGAGCGGCTCTCTGGCACGGCCATGGCTCCAGAGCCACAAAAACCAATCTCATAATTATCTGACTCTCGGCAGAAATACTTCCAGGCTTAATAAGTAAAATATCAGAAATCCAACCAGCTATAGAAAACAAATTATTTCACAATGCCTTTTCAGCAGGTCTGATTTTGGGGTGTAAACTCTAAACAATAATGGTGCATCTTTTGTCAAAACAATGAATCTAATCAAATTAGATAGAGAAGAGATAGAGTGTTAACTAGAATTCATCTGCCTCACAGGTATTGGGAGGGGTGGGGAGGGTATATTGGGGTTCTTGGTGGTAAAAAATAAGTACTGGTGAAGGGAAATGTGTTTGATGACTGTATGACCAAGACTTAAACCTGAAAGCTTTGTAACTTTTCCCACAGTGATTCAAAAAAAAAAAAAACCCCAACCAGGGCTGAAGTGACAGCACAGCTGGTAGGGCGTTTGCCTTGCATGCGGTCAACCCGGGTTTGAATCCCAGCATCCCATATGGTCCCCCAAGCACCACCAGGAGTAATACCTGAGTGCATAAACCAGGTGTAACCCCTGTGCATCGCTGGGTGTGACCCAAAAAGAAAAAAAAAAGATTTTAAAAAACCAACATACTGGGGCTGGAGTGATAGTACAGCGGGTAGGGCGTTTGCCTTGCACGTGGCTGACCTGGGTTCGATCCCCAGCATCCCATATGGTCCCCCAGCACCGCCAGGAGTGATTCCTGAGTGCAGAGCCAGGAGTAACCCCTGAGCATCACTGGGTGTGACCCAAAAAAGCAAAAATAAATAAATAAAATCCGCCAAGCTTAAAAATAAATAAAAGTAAAAATTAAAAAAAATTTAAAAAAACTAGGGATTTAGCATAGTGGGAGTGAACATACCTTCCCTGGATAAGACCCTGGGTTCAAATTCCAGTGACCAAAACAGAGGTTTTTTATTTTTCAATGCTAAACAGAACAGAGAAAAGGGCCAATAATGATCTTACCCAGTCGGCATTTTTCAGATCCTCCAGGTCCGTGCTGGGTTCATCGCTCTTTTCCATTTCTTGCATTTTCTTAAGATTCTACCAAATTAAAACAAAAAACCAACAGTTAGGCAACAAAAATTTATGAAGGGCTGGAGAGATACTATGGGGTGTTTACACTGCATGTGGCCAACCTCAGTTTGAATCCGTATATGGAACCCCAGCATTGCCAGTAGTGGTCTCCTTGCACAGAGCCAGGAACAAGCCGAGCACAGTCAGGTGTGGCCCCAAAACTGCCCTCCTAAAAATTCATTAGATGCATTCTCAAATTGATACTCCTAATGAACTTCCAGTTAAACCACATATGGAAGCATCACTGTAGTTAACAGTACTGAATCTAATCATCTGTAAAGCGTAAAATTTACCACTCAATTGTAAACTCAAAGTTCTGCAGAGGAATGAATTGAGAATGCTCACTCTAGTTTTCTTTTAGGTGTTGCAATTATAATATTCAGTCACAATATTATTTTTTGATGCTTAATTTCAACCTATAAAATGTCTTTTATTTCTGATACACAAATATACTGCAAAATAAAAAATGCTACAATAAATTATTCCTCTATAATCTCCCATAATTATCTTTGTGTGTAGTTTGAGAACCACACACAAAGTTCTATTGTCTAGCAACTTCAAGTATACAATATAGTACCATTAACCATAGTCAATACAAGATAGTACCTTAGAACTTAGCACCTAACTGGAAACATGTACCCTTTTAAATTGCTTTAAATTTGCAACTTTAAGAATATATTGATTGATAAGATATAGTCAAATTTTCATTAAAAGTTTATTATATTACTAGTGCAATAATTTATCCCTAATAAATTTATATTTTGCTGACGCTGTTAATGTATTTATTTATTTATTTATTGCTTTTTGGGTGACACCCAGCGATGCACAGGGGTTACTCCTGGTTCATGCACTCAGGAATTACTCCTGGCCGTGCTTGGGGGACATATGGAATGTTGGGAATTGAACCCGGGTTGGCCGCGTGCAAGACCAACACCCTACCCGCTGTGCTATCACTCCAGCCCCTGTTAATGTATTTTAATTGAGAGAAAATTTAAAACATAAAATCTAGCTTATTTTATATTAAAATTAATACCATAAAATTAATTATCGCTGGAGTGATAGCACAGCAGGTAGAGCGTTTGCCTTGGATGCAGCCAACCTGCGTTTGATTCCTCTGTCACTCTCGGCGAGCCTGGCAAGCTACCGAGATTATCCCGCCTGCACGGCAGAGCCTGACAAGCTCTCCGTGGCATATTCAAAATGCCAAAAACAGTAACAAGTCTCACAATGGAGATGTTACTGGTGCCCACTCAAGCAACTCCATGAACAATGGGATGACAGTGCTACCATAAAATATCTCTAAAACATTTATTCACCTTTTTGACATCTCAAATTATCTCTCCACAACATGTGAATAACCCCTAAATTATTAACAATTCTTATAATTTAGTCAAGATGGCTACCAGTTTAATATTTATGGTATTTATCTACAAAATTGCTGTACATCACCACCACCACAGAAACCTGATACGCTTCACCAACATCCTTATGTTACTTCTAGTCCATGTCATCAAGTCCCTTTCCATTTCCCCCACTGTTTGCTAATCAGTTTTATAATCCAAGGTCAAGGGTTTCCCACTGTTAGATACTACCTATTCCTCAGTTGAGTGAGATCATCTGTTTGTCTTTCTCTGATCTACTTTGCTTAACATGATGCTCCAACTTAATGCATGTGGAAATGCAAGGTTTCATCTTTATTACAGTCACACAGCATTTCACTGTGTATACACAACACAACTTCTTCACCATTCATCTAGTTTTGGGCATTTGAGCTGTTTCCATATTCTAGCTATTGCACTTACAGTTGCTATGAACACACGTGTGCATGTCTTTTCAAATCAATGTTATTGTGTTTTGGGGGTAGATGCCAAGAAGTGGGATCACTAGGTCATACAGGAGTTCTATTCTTACCTTTTGGAGGAACCTCCAATGTTTTCCATGAGGGCCTGAACCAGATGACATTCCCATGAATAGTGAATGAGGGTGCTTTTTTTTTTCTTTTACTTCATCCCTGCCAATACCACTCCCACCCCCCACCCCCGTCATTTTAATACATGCTATTCTCACTGGTATAATATATCTTGTTGTTTTTTTGATTTGCAATTTCTCTGAAAATAGGTGGAAAAAGCACTTTTTCATATACCTATTTGTCATCTGCATGTCTCTTTAGAGAAGTGTCTATTCATTTCCTTTCCCTACTTGAAGATTATTGGTGTGTGTGTGTGTGTGTGTGTGTGTGTATGTGAGAGAGAGAGAGAGAGAGAGAGAGAGAGAGAGAGAGAGAGAGAGAGTTTTCTGTATCTTAGCTTTCTGAGTGTTTTCTATATCTTGCCTCTGAGCCCTTAATCTGATGTAAATCCACAGCCAACATCATATTCAATGACAAAAAAACTGAAGCCTTTCCTCTAAGATAAGACACAAGGCAAAAATGTCCATTATCTTTACTATTACTCAGTACAGTTTTGGAAGTCTTCGCTTAACAATCAGGCAAAAAACTCAAGTCAAAGACATTCAAATTGCAAAAAGAACAAGTAAGCATGGGGGGAAAATACCCAAAAAACCTAAACTATCACCATTTGCAGCTGACAAAGAAATTCCTAATGTTTCCACTAAAAAATTTGGAAACAATCAGCTAATACAGCAAAGTAGCAGGCTACAAAACCAATAGACACACACACATACAAACTGTTGCATTTCTATATCAAATATAATGAAATATAGAAAACCACCCCATTTAAATAGTGTCCCAAGACCCAAATTCATAGGAATCAATAAGGCAGGATGTGAAAGACTTATGTTCACTATTGAAAGAAATAGAAAACGACACCAGGGAATGGGGAAATAGTCTATGTTCGTTCAGCAAAGAATGAACTCCATCAAAATGACCATCCTAATCTAAAGCATTATATTCAATGCAATCTGCGTCAAAGTTCCAATGACATTATTTTTTATATTAAAATATAAAATTTTATTAATATTACCAAATATATCAATATATTACCAAATATATCAACATTGAGGAATATTATCAATAAAATTTTACCACTATTTTCACTAGTTTTCTGTGATTTCTTTTTTTTTTATTGAATCACCATGAGCAACAATTACAAAGATTTCATGTTTGAGTTTCAGTCATACAATGATCAAACACCCATCTCTCCACCAGTGCACATTTTCTTCCACCAATGTCCCCAGAATTCCCCTCCTATCCAACCCCTCTCCCCGCCTCTATGGCAGACAATTTCTCCCATATTCTCTCTTTACTTTTGGGCGTTATAGTTTGCAATACAGATACTGAGAGGCTATCACGTTTGGTCCTTTATCTACTTTTAGCACACATCTCCCATCCCGATTGATCCCTATTGACTGGAAGTGTCTTTCTTCTAGCTTTTAACCATTCAGGTGGTGAAAAAATAGATTTAAGGAAGCAAATTATCTGGGGATACACTCTACAGGTGTGATATCTTATATCTAACCCTCCCATCCCCCAACTCAGAAAAGGAAAAAGCAGAATAAGTACCTCACTCTTTCTACCCACTCCAGCCTGAGGGCATCTGACCGGCTGCCTCACTAGAATGCTTTCCCAGCTATCACAAAACAAATTCACTCACATCCTTCTCATTTTTGTTCAAATGTCACATTCCTCAAAGGAACAACTTTGATCATTTGATGTAAATTCTAAGTCCCAGCCCCTGCCACCAGGAATTAGCCTCTAAGCCTTTTTAAGAAGCTCATTATGCCAAGGGTCTGTATTATTTAATGAATATACTTAATGACTATTTTCCTCTCCCTGCTAGCTTGTAAGCTTCATGAGAAAGTAATTTCGTATTTTTTGACTGCTGATAGACTTCACTAATCTTTACAACAGGGACTTGCATTTCACAGATTCCTAGTTTTTGTTGAAGAAGTTTATAGAGACTTTCAACAAAGAATGACCAAGTATTTAAATCTCCTCAAGTCAACTGTACTAAAAAATTAGTTCTTCCCTCTAACCCGGAATCCCTTGGATAGGGAAGAGAAACTTTATCTATTCCATACTAAGACTTTTGCTCTCCAACTCATAAATATGAAACCCTAGCTCACATTATATTTAAAAGTTGTGATAAATAATAAAATTATGTAAATAAAAAGTAGATATTTAATATTAGACTAAATTATTTAAATTAATACTAAATTGTAATACTAAAGAGGTCTGCAAGATTCAGTCAGCATAAAAATCAATGGGTTTAGAAACTTAATGTCTAAGACACATGTGCACATATGGACGATATTCTAACAATTCATCTTCCCCAAGAGTGCAGTGTGGCAGAGTTCATGCCCTCTTTCTTTCTTTCTTTCTTTCTTTCTTTCTTTCTTTCTTTCTTTCTTTTTGCTTTTTGGGTGGCAGAGTTCATGCCCACTTTCTTTCATTTTTGGGGTCACACCTGGCAATGCACAGAGGTTAATCCTGGCTCTGCACTCAGGAGTCACTCCTGACGGGGCTCGGTGGACCATATGGGATGCTGGAAATTGAACCGGGGTCTTTTTGCAAGGCGAACACCCTACCCGCTGTGCTATCGCTCCAGCCCCATGCCCACTTTCCTACGTTCTGTTTTAAATCTGTTTTGGGGTGCCAAGGTCTGCAGTGTTCAGGAACTATTCCTGGCTCTGTGCTCAGGAGGGACCTCACTGCAGTCCCTTTTCCAAACAACCTTAATTGTTACTACTTTTTAATTTACACAGGGGAACTTTATGATTAAATACACATATTAAGTATTATGCCTTTATACATCTCTACTGTCATTTATGCTGTGAAGCAGTCCACAGCTCCTTGCTACCAAAATAATCTGCTTTTCTCTTTGTAATACTGAAGCTACATTAAGTGAATGAATGGTCCAAGAATTTCATATTCTGAAAGTAAAACAAATTGTAGGTGTTTCCACACACTTCCTAGTTGCAAGGCTGAACAAGTTATGTAACTGCTCTAA